AAAAAACACCAGCAGAACCAATGGAGGCAGAGTATCATCCAGATGTGACACTGAATGACGGGAACAGAGAGATTTGTGTGGGGAGAGAGGTGGAGCGCAGAGGTGTGAGGAGTTTAACTGATGAGGAGGTCCCCCGGACACAAAGCTAGCAAAGAAACAAACACAGGAAACTGAGAAAGGCACCACAGTAAAACGCAGGACGCTAAAAACATAAGAGAAAATCAAAACCAAACCTACAAAAAACGAACAAGAAGGAAATAAGCAAAAAGCAGGAGAACCTGACACATTCAGGTTGTTGGGGGGGGGGGGGGGGGGGGGGTCATTTAACCCCTCTGGGATTAAGAAGGAGTTGCAAAAGAGAAATTAAAAAAGCTTTAAAAGAAGCTGGACAGCCTGGTGATGACACTGCCCTAAACCTACCTCAGTTGTAACATTACATATATAATTTGCTGTAAGTCGCTTTGGATAAAAGCGTCTCCTAATACAGAAAAATTCCCTGCAAACAAGTGGGAGCCAGGTCTACTCTGTGGGCATCAGGTCAGCCGGTAAAGAGAAAACATAGCAAACCCCATGAGGTATAATTATACAATTATAATTATATCGCGTATAATTAGCAGTGCAACCATTAAACATTACGTCGCATTCCAAAGTAAAAAAGTCGGTGAATCTTATAATTAACGGAGATCAAAATCAATGTCGATTAACTTTCTCCTGTCATAGTTACCGTGGTTACTAGAGGGCATGTCAGTTGGCTATGGGTCATCACAAACCTCTTGAAAACAGACTTTATTTATGGAGCAATTAGGAAAGCAAAGTTATAGTAATGGTGAAATGTCTTGATATACAGAAAAAGTTACAAAATAGTCATTATCGCTCCACCGTCGTTCAAACTTGACCCCTCCACAAACGTCTGTGAGCTGATGTGAAAACTGACCGTTACTTTCATTCCAACAGCAGAGGGTGGTACAGCCCCACCTCTGTGGGACAGCAGAGCAGGACCGGAGTCACTGAAACGCCAACAGGAGCCATGTTTCAGTGTTTTGAGGCCTCTGTTTTGTAAGACTGGATGACTTTTGTTCCAATAGTGCAACCAGTGGTTTCTCTTATTCCCACTGGGAGGTTAACCATTTTAAAGAGGACATTTCTTCTCAGTAGAAATGCATGAAAGCAAAGCTCGTCTCCAAAGATTGGTTCACGAAACACATGTTCCCGTGTTATCCCTGAAATATAAAGCTAATCATCACCTCCCTCCTGTTACTCATTTGGTCCCTCCATATAAACAATTGTTGGTTTATATAGTTCTTAATCAGACCCTTATATTTGCTTGTAGTTTTGTTTTGTGGGTGATTCTTGATAATTATTGCCGTTCTTCTTTTGCTTGTAACAATTCCCCTGATCTTAGTCGGAAAAAAACTGTTACTAAATATGTTCGGCCTACAATGTTTAACTTTTATCTGTGAAATTTTTTTATCAAAATGTTATAAAAAATAACCATTACACCACACACGCTTTATCCCAAATCAGTCACCTGTATTTTGTTTATCACACAATTCACAAACAATCCACTTCTTTCCCCAGATTTTCTCAATAGTCTTGGTCAAAAATCACCATTAGTATTCACCGCTTCCCCCCCAAAGTCACCCCATAGTGTAAATCCAACACCGGTCCTCTTGCAAAAATACAAAAAAAACAACACAAAATTGCACAAAATAAGTCGCAAAATCAGTCTTCAGCAATGCATTGCACAAAAATAAATAAAGTAAAAAATGAATAAACTAGATGGGTCTCACCAGCACATCCAGCGGGAAAAAAAAAATCCTCCAAGCTTCGACTCCTTTTTTTTTTCTGTTAAAGTCCTTATTTCCACAAATATTGTCCAGTGGGCTGATTTTTTCTTTTTTTCTTCAACCCCATCCGGCAGGACTCTTTGTAGCCTCTCAATTCAAACAACCTCTCTCCTCCTTTGCATGCCACCTGCCACACCTTTCAAACATTTTTCCTCATTACCTCTTTCCCAGGTGCTCTCCGGATAGCTCCACCCCCAATGTCCTTAAAGAGGCACACTACACCCCGACTCTCCGGACATCTCAAAGACACACCGTATCAAAATAAAGCCCATGAATTATAGAGGCTGATACCTATATTGATAAAACCCAACAAGGCCAATGTCAATATTACCTGAGCCTCCAATTTTTCAAAGACCCTAACTTATGAGACAACTCCACAGAAAAAACACCATCCAACTTAATGTGGCAGGGTCACATGCTTTGGTAATACTGTAACTTTAAGCACTTTGACCAATAAAGTCCCTGTTTTTCTTCAGTTTTGTGTGTGTCCTCTTCAGGCTTGAAGTTTTCCTGGGAGTTCCCGTATCCCCCTTCACAGCGTTATTTAGAATAACTGAACCAGGTTGGGTGACAGACAACAAGGAAATATAGTGTATTTCCCTGATTTACATCAGTGGCCAAAAAGGGGATTTTTCCCTACTGGAATTGTGATATCCCCCCCGCATTTGAAATGTGGTTGAGAGAATGTGAAAAGGTGCTTCATCTTGGAAAAGAAAATCAGGTGTACTTCAACCAATGGTGGGCGGTCAGGGCCTGCAAGGCTTTTTTCTGCTGGCCTAAGAAAATATCTTAATCACAGACTGATGTTCATTATATTTTGTCCAGGAATACTTATTAAATATTTCCAAATGGTCTGTCCGCTTCCTTTCATAGATTTTCAGACGTGTGTTTTCATATTAAAGCATTTAACCAATCACATTTCAGCCATCATTTGTTGCTAGGCAGGGTTAAAGTCAAAGACGTCTGCCTTTTGTCTACAAATAATCCGAATTTTTAAAAATGTTGCTTTTTTCCTAAATAATATTGCGAGTTTATGAGGATATTATTGATGTGTGATGTGTGATTGCTGTCAGTTTGTAGTGCTGGTACACAACCAGTATGGACTCAAACAGAACAAAGCCTGGAAAAGGCACAGCCAGGCGACATCAGACCAGCAAAGGGACCATCACAACAATGGGGCAGAGCAATACCTCCAGCCTTATTTGGCAGGTGTTTGTCCACAAGGCTCAGCTGTGTTTCAGGGGTATGTCCAGGAATAGAAGGGGGCATGGTAAGAGGGTAGAAAAACAAGAAGAAGATTAAAACAAAATGGAAAAAAACGAGACAGCATGTGTCTTCTGATCACTTCTGATTCTTTGTTCTCTCACCAGGCCCGACGTTGAGGTTTTCTGGGAAATGTTAGGCTGTACAAAGTATCAGCTGGCGCTGTCAGTCAGGCACCAAACAGGCCTTCAAGGAAGTGGTGACATGAGCTGCAAGGCATGGAAGCTGAACTCGCTATGTCGCCCTCTGGGGAAGACCAAGAGGAAGACAGAAAAAGGAGACGTGAGGATTAGAAGACCGAAGGAGAGAAACAACTTAGAAATTAGAAAGAAGTGTTGTCCATAGAAGAAAATCCGGACAAAAAGAGACAGTTTTAAGAAGAGATGGGTTGGAAAGAGCGCATCATTGACATTCACTTTTCTACTTAAACGTACTTACACCTGACTATAAATGTGATGCATAGTGAGGGTGGGGGGGGGTACTGGACTGCCCCCCTCCCAATCCAGGCACTCATCCAGTTACCCAGGGCAAACCTTTGATGGTATAAAACTGTAGATAGATACAGAGAAAGGTATGTAATGTTTTTTCAAATGCAGAAAGAATCTGTCACTTACCAGTGTTCACGGATTGTTATAGATATTTGGGTAATCAAATAATTTTTTACCCTGCATTCAAAAGACTGAGTTCAATGTAAGGTCGGGGATAGGGTTTCACATTGGTGGCTGATACAGTTCCACAGGGGTCAATCCTGGGACCCCTATTATTCAACCTGTGAAGGCTTCCCTTAGGTCATCTAGTGCTTTCTTCTTTTTCATTTGAAACCTGAGTCTCTGAGAATTGGCAGAAACTGACAGTGTCTTTTTATTAAGACATTAAGTGGACAGATGAAACAACAGATGTGTAAAGCTAAAAAATTAATGCAGCTGATTAAGGGTCATTTGAAGATTTTATGTTAAGACACCACTCTTAAGGAAGGGGAACAGGGAGGAAAAGCTGAGTTCTGCCAGAGGACACAGGAAGTGGCAGCAGCTCTCATGGAGGGATGGATCCTCATTTACAATATTGCCTTTCATATCCACGTGTAGGTTTGTATGTTCCAGGCCAAAAACCAGGGGTGGCTTAAGACTTTTACAGAGTTCGATATAAACCTGGGAACAACAAAAGCCTTGAATTCTACAACTCCAGTTTCAAATAGCGCTTGTATTTTGAGGTTCAGTTTCCCATAATCCATCTATCGTCTGAACCCACTTTATCTTCAGTCGCTCTACAGCCTGACTCTGGAACTTTTTGCCATCTGACGTCCGAAATACCGACTCTCTCCCTCTTTTCAAAACAAAACTCAAAACCCACCTGTTCAAAATTTCTTACCCACCTCACCACCCCTAACTCTAACATTCCCCTCATTCTGCACAGTTTTATTCATTCCATTTTCATTCATTTATGATGTTTTTATTTATGATTTATTTATGACTTTGTGTGTTTTCTTATGTTTCAATGTTGTTTTAATGACGATCGTCTTTGTGAAGTGTCCTTGAGTGGCACGAAAGGCGCTTTGTAAAAATAAAATGTATTATTATTATTATTATTATTATTATTAACTAAAACAGGGTGGCGTGAAAACTGGATCAGATGGGCTAACAGGCACTGAGAGGTCTGTGTGAGGTCTGTGTGGGCTCTCTGGCTCTAACACAGTATGTGAAATCAAGAGTCCAGTCCGCACTGAGATGCCCAGTTGATCCTGTGCCAAAATAACCTCCGGCTGCCTGATGCCTGTGCAGTGTTTTCCTTTTTTTTTTAATTGAGCGGTCACCGAGCTTGTCTGTTATCTAAATATGGGGGGTCGGCAAGGGCACCGCACAAGGGGATGTCCGTCAGCATATTGTGAGGGGGGCACATCTAAAGCTGGATCTGATTGGTCGCGTCTGATCTGGGAAGCGGTCCCCGGGCCAATCCGGATCATTTGGAGTCTAATCCTCGCTGGATGAAAGGGTACAAAAAGCCACCTGGACCGCGCAGGAGGGAGACTGGATTTTCCTGTCGACTCTTCTCTGTTCCGGTGTCTGCTCAGCTCCGCCGACCACCATGGTAAGAAACCAGAGACCCGAGAGGAGGGAGAGGAAACGAGGAACGCAATGTGTCGGTTTCATCTCCGAGGATCCGGGTTTTTGTTCCCGGCGGATGACGATGAAGGACAGAAGATGGAGATGATTATTCAGAGCAAAGCCAAACCTGTCCTGCTCAGCCACAGTCACCTGGATTTATGCACCTGAGTCGTTTTGATCCTCGGAATTCGGGAAATCCTTGGGAATTTAACCCCGGGCGTTTTCACCCGCTTGCTCCGCACTCATGGAAGTTTATTTATCTGCAAACATGCAGCTGAAAACATTCTCCGACACGTTTAACCTCTGTCTCAGCTCTTTACGGGCCTGCTTTTGTGCTCCATCCTTTGTAACGCAACTCAATGCGATGGACATTTAGATCCCAGAGAGTGGTACTAAAGATAGGACACACACAGCTGAGTAAAGTGAGAAGACATGCTTCTTTTTTCCGACTGTCCTAACTTAGGCATTCACCTTGAGGAAATCCCTCTCAAATCCTCGACAAAATCTCACCATAAAAATAGCTTTTGAGGGAACTAACGGGAGGGCGGTGACCTTAACACGTTTGAATAGATTTAAGCTTCTCTGAAGCAAAGTTTGAAAAGTAAGCTAACCGACTACCTTCAAAAGCTAAGACTTTTGTTTTTAAATATAAGATTGCTAAGGGAATAATCAATCTAAATTTAGAAATGCATTTTTGTTGGTTGTGTTGTGCAACACGCAGTTGTGCTTGTGACAAAAACTGGTTTAGTCGTTTTAAAGAAAAGCTAAAAACATTTGCTCTGCGAAATTATGTGAAATCGTCAAGAATTGCTCCAGTTAGACATGATATACACATCCTGGTTCAAAAAGTTTACCTATGTATCTCAATTTCCGGAGAAGAAAGCAAAAATGGAGGACGATAAATGTTGTCGGATCAGATGGGCTCAGGGTAAATGTCACCTTCTGTGTGAGGAAAAAAAGTCCACAAAAAAACATTATTTCTTTATAATAACGTTTGTGAACGTTGTGTTTTAAGTTTTGGGTCTCCATCTCTAACAAGTCCAGCCAGCTGGTGGAGGATTAAAGGTGACGTCATCCAGATATGAGGCTATTTCCAGCTCTTGGCTGTCACTTTGTCAACCATAGCTGGTTCATAGTCTGGTTCATCTCTCTATGGACTCAAACCTAAAGAAAAGCTTACCGAAGTAGAATAGTAAAAATGAGATTTTGTAGGTTTTTCCATCAACTTGTGCCCTCTTTGCATTTGTCCACAGACCATGGGAATGTTTGATCCTTTCTGTGTTAAAAGCCCATCTCTGTTATTTTCACAGGAACTGTATAAACCTTTAAAAGACATTCAATAGAACCAGAAATATTCAAATTTAAAATGAACCGATGGGTGAATTGAATGGCAAAGAGAGAAACGTCTTGATGGAATAATAACTTCAGCCCCATGGGTGAAAAAACAAAGGATAAAACTACCTGGAAGAGATTTTGGTTAGAGGAGAAGAAGAAGGATGGACTTGTGAGGCAGGAAACGTTCAGAATGGCAATAACAATGCACAGTATGCACACAGAGACCAACAACCATACAGATTAGGGGCAACGTAGAGTGTTCAGCTAAACCCACATGGGGGGAACATGGAAACTCCACACAGAAAGGCATTCGGTCCCCCAAAGGATTCAAACCAGGAACCCTCTTTCTGTGAGGTTTAGACACTGTTAACTGTGTTTAAAAGGCACTTTTTGGAGTGTATTTTATCGTGCTGTTGTATTGTTTTCCTCTTCAACTTTCCCACATCAGTGATTGCATTGGGTTCTTTCTCCTGGTAAAAAATGTGGTTCAGGACAGCAGGAGAGAACCAACTTTTCCGACCGCTCTTTCTCCACAACCAGAGCCTAAATAATACGCAGAAATTCAGCCGAGCCTCACCAGAAAAAAGACGCATTTGTCAATATGTCCAGCAGGTCCTTCGTCCCACGTTATGTCAACCTGGACCTCTGAACAGATTATTCTATTCAAAAACATGTGATTTTTGTATTTGCCTATAGAGCAGAATATTTAATAAGCACTTCTTTCTCAGTTGTTTTTAGATGTTATTGCCTGAAATCATGACTGTTCGCTGCTAGTATGCAGGGGGTTGAAGCAATGGGGTTTTTTTTGTTTTGTTTTGTGCACAGAAGTGGAAAAATAGACCTATTAGATCTCACACAGGTCTCTTAGATGCTGTTCTAATTGCACAAATCGCTCCGGTAACATTGTGTGGTCGCTTTTACAGCTCTGAGACAATTCCTTCTCTAATTTTTTCCAACCTCTTGTTCCCTTCGTCTGAAGCCCACTGACGCCCAGAGCGACGCCCGCTCCTTCCTGACCGAGGAGATGATACAAGGTGTGTTTTGGTCTTGCGGGATGCTAACCCACATGTTTGGGTCAGAGTGTTGTGTGGAAGAAGATCTACAAACAGTTGCAAATAGTTGAACCAACATTAAATAACCGAATAAGTGGTGTGTGCATATCCGTTCATCTCATCAAAGCCATTATCTTGCAGTGTCACCTTTGGAGCAATATCTGTAAGAGCCTCCATTTTGATTCACATGCATCCTTTATAGGAGGGCTTTGTCTCTGAAAACACATTTTCTCTGAAGTTTTTCTTCATGCATCTGAGAGCTGAGAAATTACAAAAGCAAACTGAGTGGCTTGTTGTCGTGAGGCGTTTTTTTCCCGCCTCTTTTAGATGTTAAGAGATGCTGCTGACCAGAAAAAAAAAAGAAAAAAAAAACCTTTGTGGTGCTGCTTTCTGCTAATCCGATTTTTCCTCCTTCGCTCAGAGTTCAAAGCCGCCTTCGACATGTTCGACACAGACGGAGGCGGAGACATCAGCACCAAGGAGCTGGGCACCGTGATGAGGATGCTGGGCCAGAACCCATCGAGAGAGGAGCTGGACGCCATCATTGAGGAAGTCGATGAAGACGGTGAGATCAAAATTAGAATTGATTGTTTTGTTGTTTTGGAACCTTTACACCGTCATCCTTAATTCAGGAAACCTGAAGCACGTCAGATGGGCTGAATAAAAAAAACTCATCTCATGGATGCCATATGATCAAGTCAAAAGACAGTAGAAAATATTCACTGTACAGTATTGTACAGGACAGGCACTAAAGGAATATATATCATATTTTATCCCCCCCTCAGGCAGCGGCACCATCGACTTTGAGGAGTTCTTGGTCATGATGGTGCAGCAGCTAAAGGAGGACCAGGCCGGGAAGAGCGAAGAGGAGCTTTCGGAGTGCTTCCGCATTTTTGACAAGTATGACGTTAGGCAGTAACACAAAGCTGAATACAAGAGCTGCCACAGCTTGTGGATATGAGGCCCGAAAGGCTGAAACAGCAGACTTAGGAGAAATGAAAATCTGATTAAAATATAATAAAGCCAAAAGCAAATAAAAATAACTGAAAAAATGAACTTATAAGAGAAACAAGCAAAAAACAAACAAGTTTAAGAAAAATCTGAAGAAAAAGATTTTGGATCTAGAGGATGCTTCATTGTCCCATCATATTTAGTAAAGTAATCTCCCCCTCACCACTATTTTGACTCTCCGTTTCCCTTTGGGAAACACACAATCCGTTCACTCTGTGAAGCCAAAACTTCATCTTTTCAGTGACAAATCGTCCCATCTGCTTTTTTTCTGTGGAATGTTTTACTGTAGCTGTTTGTCATGGCCTTCTATGGACCTATGGAAGCAAAGAGAGCGAGCTATTAAGGTGGTGAAGTGTGCTTCACATTAAAACAGTCAGCTGGGTGATCTGGTAGAGTTAGAGAACTCTAAAGTAAAGGGAGGAAGGCAGAAGATAATTGTTGTGTTTAAGCCTTTAACTTCCTTCAACATCATCACACTCTGGCAAAGGATACACTGGAGGAATATAACCTGAATCAAATCTGAAACTAAGTTTAGGTATGTCATGCCTAAATTAGGTACGTTTCCTTTTTAACATTTCATACTTTTACCATAAAGTGCCATCCCAACTATCTGTGACAAAAGCATTGATTCTGGTTGTTATTATAATGTTTTCCCAAACACAACAGGTTAAAAAAGAAGCAAACATGTGACACAAGTCCAGAACACATATTTAACAGACAACAACAAGACAACACAAAATCAAATAACATGAATTGTGGTGGTTTCCTTAAGGCCTTTTTACAAGCTACTAATTAAAACACTGAAATTTACCCAGAATGCTCATATTAATGGAGTTTTATTTTAAACAGAAACACACCACATATTGGCTGATGACTGGAAATTCCCAAAAGATCTCAGGGAATTTCTTATAATGGCAAGAGGCAGGGCTCTTCACCAAATCTCCAAAGTTTTCTTCATATACACACCAGGATTTGCTATGAAATAGAACATTGCTATTTGTTTAAGATCCCCAAAAAGATTATTAAGAACAGATTATTCATCTACTGGTAACTTTCAGTGGACCAGGCATTGATTTATAAGATGATAGCTTAGAGGCTGATTAGATGTGATAATAATCCATTCTATCTACTATAGAAAATAAAATTGAATCTACTACAAGGACTTAAATTGAGCCTTATTAAATTGAGCCAGTTTGTACTCGATTCCTGTCTCCTCAAATATGTAAAACTGGAATCAAAGCTCTAGAATAGCACTAGAATATATCCCCATATAAAATGTTTTAAGTCCCTCCCTCTAATGGACATTTCAGCCACCAGTGGACCTATTCCCTTTCTGTTTGGTCACAATGCTGTAAGACTGTCCTGTAATTTCACTGTTGTTTGGTCAAGAGAGAATACGACAGCTTGAACTTTGAAAAAAAGAGAGGGTCTTTTCAAAAGTCAATGCCGTCTGATAAAATAAAGCAGACAAAATGCAATATCCTCCTTAATCCACAGGAACGGTGACGGCTTTGTCGACCGGGAGGAATTTGGAGAAATCCTCCACCTCACTGGGGAGCCAGTCACCGAGGAGGATATCGACGAAATGTTTGGGGAATCAGACAATAACAAGGACGGAAAAATCGATTTTGATGGTGAGATATTTTCAGTAGCTGAGCTTGATATCGGGCAGATATTGGGTTGTAGTCTTCATGTGTTTAGTAAAGCTTTTTGATGTGATTTATGAATGGATGTAGAGAAACTGGGACAGATATTAATGAGTGGGGGGGTAATTCTATCAGTTCTTGCCAATCATAGAGCAGAGAAAAAAGAGCAAGCCCTATACAGAAATCAACATAAGATAAAACAGTATGCAGAGCAACAAGGAATGCTTCTAGATTTAGACTTAGACTCAACTTTATTTTTCCCTAATAGTGATCTATGAAATGAAAACGTTTTTTCTAGCTGTAGACTTTGAACTTAATTTGTACGCTGTGGGAAAAGTCAGATATTGTCTTCCTCTGCCTTCACAATGGAAATTAGCATACATGGAAATAATGTGATCATACTAAATGCTTGTATTATGTTTTACAGTGATGTAGTCTGTTGTTTTTAACTCATCTTCATCTGTTTTGATCGATAACTTGATGGGGTGGCTGTCTGTTTCTCACTCCAGAGTTCCTGAAGATGATGGAGAACGTCCAGTGATGAGTCCAGCTCTGGATTCCGCGATGACCTTCTTTTGGAGGGAATAAAAGTGAAGTGTGCAAAGGGGAAACTCTAAAGCGCTGAATAATGGGCCACAAATTTGAATTTGTAGCAACTGCAAAGTAAAAATGTGCACAGATTAAACACATCTAGCTCCATTTATCCCCCCCCTCACCACCTCACATGAAACTTAGAGGGCCTGTTGAGCATGTTGTCTATAAATATCCATTCAAACCTTTTAAGACGAAGGCGCTTTTCCCCAGGCCACCTCCTTGAGCTGAGCACCCAGACCCAGCTGTCTCCTTGGCAGCTGCTGTTTTGCCAGAAATGTCCCACCGACTGGGCTCAAACCCCTCCCTCTTCATACCCCGCCTTACAACTGAGTGTCTTGTCCACCCTGATCTGTGCTTTTGGAATAAACCAAAGTTGTTCTTCTGCTCATTGCTTGCCTCTGCTCTTTATTCTGACCGTGTCCGCTGCGCTTCTGGCCTCCCTGGATCCGTTAGATAACCAGTCTGTCTGGCTTTTCAACTCTCAGACTCGTGCCCATCGCAAAACAAACCCATGCATTTTCTGCGTCTAAACACAGCCGACCTTCTCTTTCAGCCCTGGTTTTGAAAGCAAAGAGGCCTTTTTTTCCCCCACCGTGCTTTCACCTCGATTTCCTTGTCTTATCAAACACATCAAATTAAAAGTCACGTCCAGCCCAAGTACATTTTCGGCCGCCTGGTTCAGATTGATCTCATCCACCCAGATCTCACAGCCGTCTGCCAATGCTCCTCGTGAAGTAGTCTCCCATCACGGAAACAGGCCCCCCCAGGAGGTCGGCCCCACCGTGAGAGGTGAAGCTGAGCTTTGGAGGCTTGAGACCGGCAGTCACAGAGCAGAATGCTTCATTATCCCTAAGGAGTACGCTGGTCTACCTCAGGGTATATAGCCTCTAAGCCCCCCAACATCCCACCCTTTTCCCCATGGATCCTCTTCTCCTAACCTTAACCCTCCCCTTAGGAACTGCATGCCAAATTAGGAGCACCAGGTTGTGTTCATCAGGTGACACGGCACTGGGGTACTCGGTTGCTTCGACCCTTCTCCGTCTGAATTTTGCCTGCTATTCAGGGCACCGGGGAGGGGGGGGGAGGAGGGGGGAGGAGGGGGGAGGAATGGCGATCGGGGGTCAGATCCCACAGCATTTTACTCCCAGTTAACGCCATAACCTGCTTATAAATTGAGAGAACAGTGAACCAGGAGGCCCAGGCCTGAAGAGAAATCCAAAGCGTGGTGATTTGGACTCTGGTGTTTTTTTTCACTGTGGTTTGTAATTTAGATTGTCACCACAAGAATCTGGATTCGGGTCTTTTCTAAGTAGCAAATAATATTTTTTTGTTTGAACGACATCTACAAGTGGGTGTTGCTTCTTTGGATTGGCTATTTTTCTCATTTCTCTCCTGGTTATCTGAGCTCCATCAAATCTGAACACACACTGTACACACAGAGGTACCGCCAAGTTAGTTTCAATCTCCCAAAAACATGACACTGTTTCCCTCACTTTCCGCTCACATTTGACTTATTTTACATTCTTAAAGGTTTTACATCAAGGCATTAGGGCTCACTCTTCAAGGTGTGATTGGCTTGTCCTGGCCCCAGAACCCTAAAAGTTCAGGATACTAAATCTGGAGGCCTGTGAAAAGCAGTGGGCGGGACTTATCTGTCCCGTTTAAAGTGAGTCTGGACCTTGTCTTGATGTCTAGTCTCTCTGTTGGGGTGCACACGGATTGACCACTCCTTTGGGCTTTTCTGTTTTCCTTGGATATTTAGGGGGGGGAAGCTAATCCACAAACATGGTAAGACCAATTAGTTGTTCAAATGACCGGCTGAACTAGTCCAAGTTTATCATTAAATCAGAAATTCAGTAGTCATCCCTGTGGTGAGCATGTGTTAAAGAAGGATTAATAAAGGCATGTGGAATAATAAGCTCTGCTTAGTTGCTGGGATTCGGTCGTCCTCTCTTTGTGACATTAAACTGTTGATATCACTTACATAATATTGTTTATTAGATAGAATTCTAACGACCTAAACACAGGGCAGATTGTGCATTTGATTTTTTAAATGTATTATTACCAAAATGCTGACGAGTAATATTATAACTAATATTATAACTAATATTATAACATTCATCATGATTTTGAAATACCCTTAATGCCAAAGGCTGGGTGCTGATGGAGCAGGGTAGGTGTCAGTTACGAAGCTGGGATTCTGCTTAGACGTTAAATTCCTGGGGATTGGATGTCTCATGGCCATATAGAGCAGCCTTAATGTGTTGAGCCTTAAATAGCCAGACCAATTTTCACCAAGCTCAAGACTCCTTTCGAGACAGGACAACTTTATCCGCATGACTTATTGAAGAATATTTGCTTGCAATCGCCCCAACGATTAATTATATTAATGAGAAGATGAGAGATTAAATGAGAAGATGTTTTTCTTTTAACTGTCATTCTGTATCTCTAAAATGTTTCCTTCGTTGTGCGTAAAATCTATTTGCACTCTCAAGCATCTTTTACTAAAATATTATATGTCGAAAGGTTTTTTTTAAATATATATCCACGATTTTATGTGGCACAATCACACAAATCAATTTAAATTCTACTGTCAATCATTTAAACAATGAATACGTTTTTTAAAGAACAGTGGGAATCCGTCCCGAGGCTTTTAGCTGAATCCTGAGAGTTACTCCTTGAAAAAAAACTCTGTAATAAATGATCAGAAAGGCTTGTTCCTGCTGTCTTGCAGACCGACGCGCAGCAAGAGGCCCGCTCCTACCTGAGCGAGGAAATGCTGGCTGGTGAGTACAGCGACGTCTGGGGCCATTTTTGACCAACAATATGAGCAGAGGGGGGCCGAAACATAAGTAGGGTTTAAGCTTTCTTTAACAATAACTCCCATACACCTCTCTGGAAACGTTAATGGCTCAACCATGCATGCAGTGCAACATAATTTTTATAATTGAACTCGTGGCAGGAGCTTTATGAGGTGGATAATTTTACTCTATGGTCAATCGATTTGCTCTCGACAAAAGGCTAAATGGTGATTGTAACACTTTTTCGAAGGAATATCTCTATCATTTTCAAATACTGCATCAATGAATTCCTTGGAAACTAAATTACTTCACTTTGCACGAAGAGTACAATGCGCTCACACGGGGTCAATTCTGTGCATTATACAATTTTTTGTACCTGCAGAGTTCAAAGCCGCCGCATTTTTATAACTTAACTCGTGGCAGGAGTTTAATTGAGATGGATAATGTTATTCTATGGTCAATCGTTTTGCTCTCAACAGAAGGCAAAATGGTGATTATAACATATTTGCGAGAGAATAACTAAATTATCATTTTCAAATACTGCATCAATGAATTCCTTGGAAACTGAATGACTTCACTTTGCACGAAGAGTACAATGCGCTCTCACGGGGTCAATTCTGTGCATTATACAATTATTTTGTACCTGCAGAGTTCAAAGCCGCCTTCGACATGTTCGACACTGACGGTGGCGGTGATATTAGCACCAAGGAGTTGGGTACCGTGATGAGGATGCTGGGCCAGAACCCGACAAGAGAGGAGTTGGATGAAATCATCGAGGAGGTCGATGAGGACGGTAAGTTTTAGGGAGAAACAACAGTTTGTGTAGGATCCCACCCCACCGTGCGTAATAACTCTTTTACGCACCAGATGTCCTCGGTTATTTGGCTGACAGGCTGCGGGCGTTAAATGGCCCAACATCATTCTTATTTTTATTTTGCTCTGGTGTGAATGTTTTAACATCTAAAGATATGTGTGTGTAAAACACAGGACGGTAAGCTTTAGGGAGAAACAATAGTCTGTGCAGGATTCCATCCCACCGTGCGTAATAACTCTTTTACGCACCAGAGGTCCCGGTTATTTGGCTGACAGGCTGGAGGCGTTAAATGGCCCAACATCATCCTCACTCTTATTTTGCCCTGGTGTAAATGTTTTAACATCTAAAGACATATGTGTGTAAAACAGTGCGCAAAAGAGAGCTGACGACAGTCAAAGAATTATGTGCCGTCTTGTAACACTCAGGCAGCGGTACCATCGACTTTGAGGAGTTCTTGGTCATGATGGTGAGGCTGCTCAAGGAGGACCAGGCCGGCAAGAGCGAGGAAGAGTTGGCAGAGTGCTTCCGTGTGTTCGACAAGTAAGTCGTCCGACGACTGTCCGCTGGAAGGGGCCTCGCGTCGAGCAAAAAGGCCTGTGTGGGAAATCCGGCACTCCTCTGTTTCCCCCAGGAACGCTGACGGCTACATCGACAGGGATGAGTTCGCCCAGATCATCCGCAGCTCCGGTGAGTCCATCTCAGAGGAGGAGATTGACGAGCTGCTGAAGGATGGAGACAAGAACGCCGACGGCATGCTGGACTTTGACGGTACGTGCGCAGTGATTATGACTCTGAGACAGTGCCCAGACACGAGCATTCATCAGTCCAGTCATCCAGACTTTACACAAGCACGTGTGTTTTATTGCACTGTGTTAACTGACTGGTGCTTGGATCAATGAATGTCTTCCCATCTTCCACCTTCTCTGGTCTCATGCAGAATTCCTCAAGATGATGGAGAATGTGCAGTAAAGAACAAAGACTTATGGGACATTCCTCCACCCTCATGTGAACCCCCTTTCTGAGTCCATCTGCACCACCTCTGCCCCCTCCTTCAGCCAAACCTCCCACCACTCCTCTCCCTCTGTCCACCCGGTTCACCACTTCTCTTCTCCACCCTTGTAGACACCCTCCACAGACAGCTAGGACACCCAGTGGGGGTCACTGGGCTGCTCATCCCCGTCCACTGACACGCTCCTGTGGCAGGAAGGCAAGACTGCAGTGTCCCAATCCACTGCACACCTTCTGCAGTATGCATGTTTTAGGTGACCCCCCCCCCCCCCCCCCCCAGACCGCCTTTCTGCTGGAAAAGCTCTGATCTAGACACAGTCTGGATAGAAGGGCAGCCTGTTACCTGCTGCTTAGACCAATTCATTCAAAACTTCACTGTACAAAGAAGTAAATTGCTTGAACGGAATAAATGAGCTAAGACATGCTCTCTAGTAGTTGGTCTGTCATATTTATGGCCTGTGTAAAACAAAATGTTTTGAGGAATTTAAATAAAATCTGTTTGTTTCTTCTTTTTGTCCATTTTGTATAAAGCCACAGCCAGTTTTACTTCTGTTTATCAGAAAGATCCCACCATCTTTAAAGTGGCAATTTTTACATTTAGGGTAATGAATTAGTTTATCCATGTTCTTTGTTCCTGGCTGTAAACATGAAGAAAAATTGATTTATTTACAAAATTCTGCCTTTAGACAGTTATGGATTCTTGTTTAATGTTTCATAAAGAAAATCATTCTCTTTTTTCTTGAATCCATTGTAATAAAAGAAAACTTTTGCTTAGAAAAAGACTAAAGACCATAAACTGTTTGTAATGCAAAAGGGAAATGTGGCTAAAACTATTCCGTCAAACCGTCTTATATCAGTATTTTAAAAGTGGTTATTCCAAGTAGACGGTGCAGCTGTAGCTACACATCCAATACTAATGTGGACTGAAGATGTTTTGTGCTGGCCATTAAAGCACAGTAAGGCAATTTATTTATTTTCAACTATTTTGTGCGTATGAAATATGAAGGTTAATATGTTTAGAAAATGAATTGTGTCCTACTGGTACTGTGCAGCACAAAAAAACCCTCAAAAGGACGATTAAAAACAAGTTTAGGTTTATTCATAGAATCCAAGACAAACGTGAGTCGAGTGTGTGAATAACTAAGAGTGAGACTAGTAGCGAGAACATTAAACATCCAAAAAAAAACTGAACCACAAAACCGGCCCTGATATCCCCAAAGCGGCCTGTGGCGCTTCTGGGGCAGCTGACACCGGAAGAGACATTTCCTACAGTCCCAGTACGAGTTTATGAGCCATAATTGGCCTCATCAAAAGCTTTCCGGGCTCTCTTCAGCTCTTCGTTCATGGTCAGCAGGTCTTTGACTCTGGCAAACTTCCTGGGGTCTTTGCGAATGAGGAAGACGATGTCCTCCACCTGGACGCGGCCCTGGCGTCCAATGGACATGGCTTTGTGGGTCATTTCCGTGATGAATTCGATGACCAGGTCCTCCAGGATGTCCACGGACTCCGTGTACGGGTTCTGGTCGTCGCCAAACCCATACATCATACACCGGAGCTCCTTGGAGAAGAGCCTTTTCCTCCTCCCGTGGCCGACGTCCACTCCACTGGTGCCGTCGTCCAGCTCCTCGTCGAAGCCGGTCTCGTCCTCTTCTTCCGCCATTTTGCTGGAAAATACACAAACGGAAGAATTTAAACAACTCCTAAACATGTTATAAAACTTGAACCGCAAACTCGAACATATACGGTGAGATTTGTACCTGCACAAAGGCTAACGACAAAAGCGAACAGGGCTTGTTGTGGTTGTGCGCTTGGTTTCTTCTTCGTTGGTTTTTGAGGTAAATATTGAGAGTGGCGGCTGACCACTGCCCCTGCTGGTGGCTCAGTTTGCACCAAGTAAGCTAGTATGCATCGATGTTTATAAACGTGACATGCAGTCAGTTGAGTTATATAGACGTGTATATCAGTAGGAAGTATTTCTGGGTTTGTGGTGTGATGGCCGACGATTGACATTGAGGTCAGTTTTTTAATAAAATAGAAGTCTGAGTTAGTCGCCTTAATTTACACTTGCTAGCTTAAATGATTAGCTCGATCCGCATGTGTTCATTCTGCTTCACTTTTTTCTGTGATTTTTAAAAAATTAATTTAAAGCAGCAAAATAGTGGGAGATATGAACTGATAAAGAGGTATTCTTCGTGTCAGTTATGAGAAAAATGCCAGTCTCTGTTTAGTGGGACCGATAATCTGAAAGTCGACTTTTAAAATGAAGTTCAGCCCGTAACTGTTGCCGCTTGACAGTAGCACCTGTAGTAGCTGTCAGTAGTAGTAGCTGTTTACCTGCGGGCTGAAGTCCCATTTAAAGGCAACTTTAGGCTGTGTTTGCTGTGACGTGTAAGAATACAGTCAGCGTTAGGAAGTTAGCCAAATAAACGGTGCTGCCTCCGTTACAGGTCATGGAGGTTTAAGGCCCGTCCGAGCAGCTGGAGCCCCGAAAAACTCTGCCAGCTAACGACCAAAGAGCCCCCAGCCACAGGTGAGCTCGTGGAGGGGGTTTCCAGTCCGGGCTCGGTTCTTGTTTCGTCACATGTTGGCCAACAGTGAGAGAGATTAGCTGAACGGAAGACCTGGTGTCTCAATGCCCTGCTGACGTGGTCAACGACCAGCTGATAACATTATCAGACCTCTGAGCGGCTCACAGCACTTTCCACTAACTCCTTATTCTTTATTCACCCTTACACAGATTAATCCCCTGCAGGAGATGGGGTCGTCTTCGTAGCTGTGTGTGTTGGACCGGCTGGTCCAGGCGGCCCTGAATGGCGTGTCCGGTTCAGTTCCTCTGCCGGGGGCTTCGCACCGTTGGCCTGGTTCTGCTCTACTATGTCTTCTCCATAGGGATCACATTTTATAACAAATGGCTGATGAAGGTGAGTGAACCCCTCGTTTGATTCCCTAAGTTGTACTATGTGTGATCTGGGTGCCCGGGCCGGTCCCAGTCTCCGAGGACTGACCCACCCTGTGTGTCTCCGTCTCTCTCAGGGTTTCCATTATCCCCTCTTCATGACCCTGGTGCATCTCACCATCATCTTCTCCCTGTCGGCTTTGACCCGGTGGGTCTACACGGCCGTCTGCGGAGCAGGAAAACCCCGTGTGGTCCTGAGCTGGAGAGACTACCTCTTTAAAGTGGCTCCCACTGGTGAGTCTCTGTTTCTGTGGAGTGCCAAACGTTTTGATACTGGAAGACGAGATGCAGTCAGGACATATTATCATGTGCACATATTTGTGGTGAACAGTGTTGATGGATTAGTCACACTTTATTGATACTTGTAAAAGTATACAAAAGCATAAACGGCTAAACCAACATGAATGAATTCATTGAGCCATAAAAAGTCATCATTCGATAACACGTTGTGTCTGTGACACAGAGACAAAATAGGTCAGACTTTAGCTTTTTTTTTGTAGCACAGCTGTAGCAAAATCTGATCCAAAAGTAACTTTATAGTGTTTTTTCACTCCTCAGCCTTAGCGACAGCTCTGGATATTGGACTTTCCAATTGGAGCTTCCTCTTCATCACAATTAGCTTGTAAGTTTGTGGCTCAGGTTTTCTGTATCGTCTTAAATCTTTCACAGTATTTTTTTCACCCTGATATTTGTGTCTTAACTTTGTCATTTGAGGTACACCATGACCAAGTCTTCAGCAGTGCTGTTTATCCTCTTTTTCTCTCTAGTGTTCAAACTGGAGGAGCCGGTAAGTCATCATGTCTGTCGTTCAAAAATATAAACGAACCACACGCCAGCTTCATGATGCTTTTACAGTTAGTTTTCTTGACATGCTGAGTTAGGTGATAGTAGAAGAAAGTGGAAGACAAATCATTTGTAGGAAAAGCTTTTAAGATCTTCTTGATAGTGGAAATATTCGTGATTACATCTCACTGAGTCACCAAAATGTTAATTCTTTCTACATTTGTAATAAGTGATATATTTCTTTGGGTTTCTCTTCATTTTAACATGTAGGCTTCTTATTCTGTGAAAACAAGCCCAGCATAGCTGATAGATGAGTGGATTCGGTTTCTGTGGCAACAGAGGCAGCATCGGCGAGTGTTGCCGTGGTGATGCTGTAAACATCCTAGTGCGATGTACTCCTTCTATTAAAGTGCCTGTGTAAAGCAGATCAGTGGCTCAGTTTGGCTATTCATTTCAAAAAGCCATTTTAATGGAATTAGTTTATTTAGAAGTTTCCTGTTGATTTCAGTCAATGTTTTTCTAAGTGTGTCAGGTTGTTTTTTTCAATAGCTGCCTCTAAATAAATGACTCTGTGCCCTCTGATTTTGGCATTGTTGCCGAGGCTCCATCAATCCAGCTCAAATGTTCAGTCATTTTTAAAAATTATGTACTGTAATGTCATTCTGTTTTCCTTATTTGAAAAGAGCTAATGTGAGACGTTTTCCCCCCAAAACCGCAGCAGAACCGGCCTGTTGTTGAGTTTGCTCTGATTTATTGGGACGTTCCTGCCTTCTCCTCACAGATCTGTGGTACTTTGGGCCCTTTTCACCGGTTGTTTCTGCTCCGTCTCTCAGAATCCTTACCTGATCGTGGTGGTGCTGCTGATCTCCTGCGGCCTCTTTATGTTTACGTTCGAGTCGACCCAGTTTAACCTGGAGGGCTTCATCATGGTGCTGCTGGCCTCTTTCCTCGGGGGAATCCGCTGGACCCTCACTCAGGTCCTCATGCAGAAAGCAGAGCTGGGTCAGTCATTTGTCAGTTTCAAACCCAAAGGAAGAAATCCTGCTTTTTTTCCTGGCTATCAAACTGTTATTTTAACAACAGGTGGAGTCCCTCTCACTTGTCTTTTCCTAGCATTTTAAAACTATTGCTTGTGTCCATCTATTTGGTATATCTAAAGTTAGATGAATGTTTGCTCAGCCCACAGGAATTATGGTTAAAGTCTTCAAGTTTACGCAATCTCACTTGCGTGGCGTGTATCTTTTCCTCTGTGTTCCTGGATTCAGGCCTTCAGAACCCAATAGACGCCATGTACCACCTTCAGCCGCTCATGTTCCTCGGCCTCTTCCCCCTCTTCCTCTACAATGAAGGTGAGAGTAGCCTCAACGCTGCACTTTCTGGATCTGAGCATGCTTTTGATGGAGAAATGTACAGAGTTTGTACTGTTGAAAGTGGGAGCTGTTGGAAGAAGTAGAACATGACCTTTGACCTGGAGTTTTGTCACTTACTGGGTCTGTGTTGCCCTTTTTGATTGACATTAAAAATTACAAGTGCTTTCACTAATCAGCAAAACGTTGGTTTGAAATAACTTCTTCTAACTTCTTTTATGTATTCATTTTTAACTTTTTCAACATTTTTTATTGTTCAGGAAGTTATAATTCAAACTGAATTAGGCATGCACCAGCCCTCTGAGACTTTTCCACCCGTACTAGTCACCTTTAATCAGATAAAGTGTTTGATCCTCATTTCTTTTAAGGAATCTTCACATTTTCATCCCTCGTCTGAAATGCTGCCTCATTCCTTGCTTTGTCTGGCAGTGAGGAGAACTTAGTGTTTTAAATTAAACTTATAATGTCATCAGACAGAGAGAGAGGTTACTGTAAAGTCAGTTTTTTTGTCTTGTAAAGGTCCCCGGCTGTTCAAAGCCCCGTCTAAACCCTGTAATGTGCCCCTGCAGCTCTGAGCCTCGGCACATCGGAGAAGTTATTCCGGGTGACCGAGCTCTCCTCCCTCCTGTACTCGCTCTTCACGCTGGGCATCGGGGGCTCGCTCGCCTTCGGTTTGGGCTTCTCCGAGTTCCTGCTCGTCTCCCGGACCTCCAGCCTGACGTTGTCCATATCGGGGATCTTTAAGGTACTCAGAAGCCGAGTCGGGTCACCATAACTGGAGGCAAAACGCAAAAGCAAGCTCCCTTAGGACGACCAAATCGGGCGGTAAACGTCACCCAGAGGTTTAAAAGCATTAGGAAAGCACACGGCGAGGACATTTACAGGATCAGCCATTTGCTTTTCCCACATTTCAGTGTTTATTTGTCAAATAATATCAACTTTGAACTTAAAAAAAAACTCTGCATTGGTCAGAGTAAAACATTGTTCAAGCTACTGTTGGTCAGAAAAATGATATTTTAAAGGCAAGCAGCTTTTATATCCTGCTTCTTTTTTTTTTTTCCGTTTTGTATCCATGCAACCAGACTGATTTCAGACCCCTCTGTGCCCCCCCCCCTCCCCTGTTTCCGTCTCCTCCTGTAGGAGGTGTGTACTCTGCTTCTGGCTGCATCTCTGATGGGAGACAAACTGACCGCCGTTAACTGGCTGGGCTTCGTTGTGTGTCTGTGTGGCATTTCATTACACGTGGGCCTGAAGACCTATTATTCCAAAAGTGAGTCTTTACAGTTTTTTTTTGGGGGGGGGGGGGGGGGGGGGGTTGCTCCAGTCGGCTGCTATTGGTGGTCAGTTATTAACTCATTGACTGCCAGCCATTTTCAGAACAGAGAGTCCCATACTGCCAGAGTTTTTTGAGCATTTTGACTGATTTTTCAAGAGCCACAGAATAGTTTGTGCTATGACTATGTAAACACTGAACACACCAAAAGAAAGAGTAGACTCTCTTCTTTCATCAGGAAAAGAATTTTGTTTCTACCTTATTCCGTTCTTCCTCGACTTGCGTCGACACGGCGACACGTTCTCTCACAGCGAACCGTTACCTTTTTCTTATTTGCCTACAGTCTATGCTCATCTCCCATCAAAAGTGGCACTGCCACCTAGAGGGTCAATTTGTTACTACATACTCTGTCTAGAAGCCGATATTTACGGACAAGCTTTAGCAGATCGTCTCCCCAGCCATTCTCGTTGAAAAACATAAAAGACGTCTATAGACGTCTTTGGCAGCCAATGAGTTAAGCCAGTGGTCGTGTCTGTGCTGTTTTCCACCAGGTAAGGGCCCGTCTTTAAGGGAGCTCTCCGGTAAAAGCTCCGAGCTGGAGTTCCCGCTGCTGCGCCTGAACGGAGACAGATGTGAGGACTCAGCTGCTGACGAGGAAGAAGAAGAAGAAATCACCCTCCACTGACAGAGAAAAAAGATCCCCACCGGCTCTTTGCTCCCCTCGATGGCGTCCTCGCATCAGGAAAAGGTCCCTGTGGGATCTGTACGTTCACTGTGGGACTTTGAACGCAACACAGATGATGGTTTTTCCTTTGGGAGACTCTAAATGTAGCAAAACACGCAAATGTTAACAGAGTATGATGTGTGTTGTAGCTTTAAAGGGATCGTTTCACACCCTGGAATGTGGAGGCTCAGTTTTCCCCCGTGTGCCACGTTGGAAATGTGTTTTTGGGGGATTTGACTGCGTATGAGTGTTCCAGTGTGGGAACTGTGATGGGAACATTTCAATTCCTTCTTTATCTGAAAAAGACATTTAAAAGAAAAGAAAAATTGAAAGCTATTTTGTGTGAACTAAGTACAACACTTGTGTTCTTCTTCCTCAGATCTCAGTTTTGCAGCTATCTATTCCTCATCACTTGATCTTAAAAGCTAACGTACATTGTTATAAACTGACTGAACTATGATAATGATAATAAGTGAGTAATCTTCAGGTAATCAGTTTGGTTTGAAGGACAAAATGCGGAATATCCTGACGTCTAAGGCCTTGAATTTTCTTGTATTTGAAGTGTAACAAAAACCTCCCCTGCCTCTTTTAAGAGTTCTAAATGACCAATGAGTGTTCAGGCCAATCACCATGCTAATAAGAATCCCAGTAGTAGTTTTATTCCCAAACGCTTGGACAGCTGGCAGGTTAAAAATCCTCGTTTGAGCCACAGTCTGATTGGAAGATATGTTGAAGTGGTCCAATTTACTAAAACAAACACTGACAGTAAGAACTACAGAGAAGCAGAAAGAGAGATCAAAGGACCTTCTATTTAAATAAAAGCCCATCCTAATCCTCAGTTAGGGAGACATGAACTTCTGAAAGTGACATCACAGAGTTTTCTCTGTCAGTTGGAAATCAATGCAAACGCTTAAAAATTAACCCTCTAGCATAGATTTTTTTGAATAGTTGAAAATATTCAGGCTCGAGGAATCAAACTCTAAAGTCACCTATTGAGTTTCATTCAAAGAGGACCCTCTTGTGCCTTATTAGTGGTGTAAGTTTCTTCTCATAGGAGCTATCTGTAGCATCCATCTGGAGTAGATGGATAAATAAGGGAATTGCTCAAGTTTAAAAAAAAAAGTTTAATGTTTTATCTTGATTTTCCTGCAAAATATGTATTGTTGACATTCTCTTGAAATGACAAAAGAAGAAAAGGTTGTCATATTTTTTTAAAAACTTTTTAAAATAAATCTAATCTAATAATTTTTTATCAATTTGTTGTTTTTTTACAACCAACATGATCAACAAAATGTCCTTGATGGTCTGCTCGTTTAGATGGAGTAGATCTCTTCAGTCCTTCAGGACAATTTGCAGAATTTATACTAAGAGAAAAATCATTTTGTCTGTGCAAAATGACAATTATGTGCCTTTTTTTAGACTTCACTCATTCACTGTTCAGGGTTTTGTGTCTTAAGAAAACATAAATTCCTCTGAAACAACAAACCCGTTCCCCTAAAACCCGAGCTGGCCCTGAAGCGGCGCGTGGGCAGAAGCCTCGCGCGCCCCTCAGAGCGCGTGAGCCACCTGGTGGCCTCTGACCCCTGCAGGTATCGCTCCGCGGCCCGAAAAGATTTCCCGGAGCCCTCCCTGAACACCACGCCCATGTCGGGGCAGAAGGAGGACATTTGGTCTCGAATTCCACCCCCTCCAGATACAAGCCCACGAGAAGAAAAGAGCCCGTGTCCCAGTTTAGCGGAACTTGCGCGTGCCGACCTCGCACCTCTGGAATGCCGCGCGGAGACTTTTCGGAAGGACTAACCCGGACTCACCGAACCGCCAGGTAAGGCTGAGCTAACTCCGCGTTCCCGGGCCCAGGGCCTCAGGTAAACGGCCTCGGAGGAGGTTAAACAGTTCCGGGGCTGCTCCCAATATCTGAGACGCACAAAGAGACACAAATGTCCCCAAATAAACAACTATTTGCGCCATGTTCGCGTTACCTGGGCCACCCCGTTACAGAGCAGACAGCTTTGTTGTCTTCAAATGTTGTGAAATATTGAAAAAATGCACGAGACTTATCATTACAAACAATAGTTTATCGTCATTTGCGCACTTATAGGCGTTGCATTGCGTCAGTTTGAGCATTTTCTCTAACGAAGTCTTCGAGGAGACTAAATTACATCCGACACATTATATTTTGGCAACTTTAAAAGTCGTCCAAACTCTACCAAAACAGCAACCCGGCCCAGAAGTCCACTTTCCTCCTCTGTCTTCTCATCTTTTGACCACCTCGATATTCAACAGGTCAACTATAGTTCAAGTTTTTTAAAATACAGATTTTTATAACCATAGAAACATCTACATGGTCGTTCAGGATACCATTAAGAATGGAGTAGAAAATCAGTTTGAGGAGATTTTTTTGTTGCAATACAAAGATCCCAAACAATAAATAAAGAATAAAGAGAAGTACATTTCTCATTGACTCTTAGCTTTGCAGTTCTTCTGCATTGTTCTAAGTTCTTCTTAGTTTTTTTAATAAAATTGATGTCCCGCTTTGCTCAGACTGGAATTTGGTCTTAACCGCATCAGTTTTGAATGTTATTTCTCGCCAGAAATGCAGGCAAAAAGTGTCAGATTCAGTGATTCATCATGTTTTTCATCACATAGGGGTGATTAGCTCTTAAATGGACCTAAAAGAAAGAAAAAATAGGACACCCCCATCAGGGGGAATGAGTGTTGGCATGGGGATGCAGACTCCACATTTTGCACTGTGACAATCGAGCTGATAATTGAGCTCTATAATAGGCAAAATTTGGTGGGTGTCATTTAATTCTGTGGTTAAAAGAAAGCAGCCCGACTCTTCAGTGCAGGTCCCTTTCTGCTCCTTCTCAGCGGCTGTCCTTGATTTTTGTGGTCTTTGTATCCTTTTATAGTTTCATGTTGTAAAATTGATACCCGATACCAGCCGGTTGTGGATAATTCCTCCTTATTGCTCTCCTCAGCCATGGACATTGGTACTTGTGCCAGAATTATTCACAGAATACATGCCTGTAATGCTGTACTAATGTTTTTTTTTGTCTTGGTTGTAGGCGCCTCTCATGTCTCCTAATCATTTTGCCACATTATGCTCACCTTCCTGGGGAATGCTGTGCTTCCTGCTCAGTGTCCTCCTGCTCCGGTCCTCGGGGGTCCGCGGCCAAGGTAACCTGCCTGAAACCGCCGTTTGATTACGCCTGAGGTTGCAGAGACTGGAGGCACCACCTGAACTTTACTGTGTTGGACACAGCCTGCTCATTCTCCTCTGAATGATGCATTTAATGTGAAAATCCCAGCAAAACCAACAATTTCCGTCTGCAAAGTTGATTGAAAACTGCAGCTGCAAACATATCGTTAGATTATGCAGCTACAGCATCACTCGGAAACCATTTCCATCTTTACATACAGCAGTTTAACTCCTTATGAACAGGCAGCTGTTCCCACAATGAGCTGATCTTCAAGCTCTCAGGGAAATACAATTTTATGGCTAATGGATTATTTATAGTCTGAAATGTTCTCAAAAGCGTGTGATTATAGCATTTTTATTTAGCATATATTTTAACATTTCTTCTCCTCCCACTCAGGTGTTGAAGCCTTGACATTAATTTCCATGACTGGAAACATGGCCGGCAGCCTTAAAAGAAAAAGCACGTTTAATTGAACCATTCGTGGCTATTAAATACTGGCACATTTAATCTGTAGAGTAACACAATAAGACTTTGCTTTTTATGTTTATTTCAGAATATGCTATTCCTACTTAGGTCTCAACATACCATGTAAGAGGGTTCCACCTAATACACCTTAATACTACATCTAGTAAAGCTGTAAGCTTGAATTTTTTATAATTCCAGTTCGAATTCATAGTTGGATCAAATCGCTTAATGTATTATTTAAGTTTTGTGAAGTAGTTTTACCAGTTTGCAACAGCAGGAAGTTACTGTGGAGTAAAATCACGTCATTTCTGGGAAATGACCAATTTCTGCATTTATTTTTCTGTTTATTGGGACTTTTAACCACACAGAAACACAAAGAGCTTATTAGTTAGATGCAGAGTTAAAAACGAAAGCCAAAACAACTGATCTCAGCCCACAGCGTCGGGGGAACAACACCGTCACTGTGCTGCTCCTCGGATCTGCGGGTCCGTCTGGAAATGCTGTTGTGGGTTCGGAAGACCTTGACCCTTTCTCCACCAGTCCCCCCTCAGACCCTTCTGATCCTCTGGTGAAGACCCTCCGGAGGCCCCTGGTCTTCTCAGTCTGTCGCACACACACAGAAACACATATTCAAGCCGGAAAAGGATCTGCTGAGCGCACAGGGTCAGACGTCCACAGAAGTGTCACAAGCAGCGTTTTGTGACGCCCAGCGTCCATGTTAGCGCTCTCTTGTCTTTCCTGGTTCTTGCCCCCCCCCTTCCCCCATGGTCTTCCTCCCAATGCATTACTCCATTACATATTACATGAAGTCCCCTGAGCCACTGTAACTCCGTAGCACTCCTCTGCCGTGACCTTTGGCCCCGAGGCCCTAAACCGGCGTCCTGTTCCCGTTTCTGCTACAGCCGAGAGGACAGGGCTCGCTTTGATGGACGAGGACGGGGTGGCCAGCACATGAAAGGCCTCGCTTGTTTGGAAGCCCCTGCTGGAAATTATGTAGATGGAGTCAGAACAAAAGATGGATTTGATTTGTGGAGGAGGAAGTCATCTGGGTTAGACCGCCCCGACGAGCGAGAGGAATGAAGACGGTTTCCAGCTCGAGTCTTTGATCGTTAAAAAAATCCTGTCTTATGTGACCTCTCTCTTGACCTACACAACTGTCTTGTGATCCTGGAAATCCTCATTTTGATTTCTCTTCCCCGTCCAGGTCGCCTGAAGCTGACGGTTCTGTCTGAGGACAGACTTCAGATGAAGTGGAGGGAGGCTGACGGTCCCATTCAGGGCTATAAAGTCCGAGTGAGACCGATTTCAGGTGGGATGTTTGAAAGGAATCTTAGAGAAATTTCTCATAATCTAAATTGCAAGCAGGAAAATAAATGTTGTGTTTATGTTTCAAGAACAGAAATGGTCAGTGAGGCAGCAAAGATTCATTTTTCTCACATCAATCCAGACTTCCATAAGTGTATCAGCCACATTGTTCTTAAGTTAAAATTCTCCTTATTTCTTTCTCATCTGGGCTACTAACCACTTTCCTGACGTTGTTTTACCCTGTCAGCTAAGCCCGGGCAGGTCTGAAAGAGAGAGCAAGAATTGGGGCTTAGCGGAAAAATTTGGTCCTGCTTCAGGCTTGCTGTGCCTAAAAGCGGAGGTTCTTGGACAGGCAAAGATGAAAGGTGGTGCTAAAGAGATTGAAGGAGGGAGGAAGTACAGCTCTGAGAAGACCTGCCAAGACTGTGCGTCATGCGTGAGGGCAAAAAGATGCAGGATGAAATCAGACCCTTTAAATGGTGTCGCAAAAACTGTGCTGTGTTTTTAAAAACAACAACAAAACGGGGTACACACTGGACAGGTCGGCAGAGTTTACAAAATCCATTTACCAACTCAGTTACATGATGATCCTGTTTGATTTTTCAACAATCACAACTTGATCATGTAACTATTTTCCATTCAGAGTGAGAAAAGAAAAAAATCCAGCAGAAGCCTGAAACCATCACGCAGATAAACTGTCTGCTCAGACCTCTAAAAATGACATCTGCCATTCAAAATGCCTCTTTTCCAGAAGTGCCGCAACCGGAGCTAATGCTGACCACCACCAGGGGCAGGGCGACGGTGGCCGGACTGGACTCCAGTCAGGAGTATTCACTCCAAGTCCTCGTACTCAACGGCACAACAGAGAAACTTCTGGCAAAGAGACGATTCACCAGTAAGAAACACAGTAACTCAGGACTCATTTGAAAAAAACTCTGAAATACGTTTTTACTGTAAACGAACTCGGTCATTGATTCGGCTAGTTTGCTAGCTCCTTCAAAACTCATTCGAGGTCCATTACAGGCTAAAAGCAAGCAGTTATTTGTGCTCACTGGAGTCAGATTTGCCTCACAAAGGCTGCCATGATAATGGTCTCCCTCCCAACTCTGTGTCCGCTTGAGAGAAGCAGCGAGGAAAACGGTTTTCAGAGGAAAATGATCGACTTTTCCGCTGAATTAAGAACCTCTCTCGCTTTCGGGGTTTATTGTCAGTCCGTCCAGTTTTTTCCCAGAACTCAAATGGGATTGTACAACATGCAGCCTGCGGTTACCTGCGAGCCTTGCCGGTGATAGTAGGTTACAGTGTCGGGCTGAGCGAGCCCGGGCAGGCCAGAAAAACACCTTGACTTGGAAAATTTGCAACACTAGCTGTCAGGATGGAATGATGGCAGTCTGGGAATTCCTCCCTGGTGTGTTTACCGTTTGCTGGAGCGGCCCCGGGGCCCTGTACTTAGTCCAGTCTGCCGCGGCATTTAGCTACCAAGTCCAGGCAATTCTTCCTCCTGAAAAATGTCACCTTCCATTTGCCGCTGTTCACCTTGTCTCTGGACTCCAGGCAAGGATTTGCAAACGCCACCTGTGAGATGAGCTATGTACAAACATGGCTCCATCTTAACCTCGAACTTGATCATTGTTCTGTTCTAAATTTGAGCCTGTATGATAATATAAACACGTCTTTAAATGGAACGTTGGGCTCTTTATTTCCTCAGCTTTTAGCTCACAGAGGTGTTGAAAACAACGGCTGCCCGTGTTGTTGTGCAACTTTGATTCAGGGGGATCGTTTTGCATCACATAACCCTTTCAAGCCTGATCCAACATTAAAACAAAACAGAAAATTACTTTTTTTTTGTTTGAATTCCTTATATGGCCTTTTAACATAATATGTAAAAAGAAAGGGCGGCACGGTGGTGTGGTGGTTAACACTGTCGCCTCCCAGCAAGAGGGTTCTGGGTTCGAATCCCAGGGGAACCAGGACCTTTCTGGGTGGAGTTTGCATGTTCTCCCTGTGTCTGCGTGGGTTCTCTCCGGGTTCTCCGGCTTCCTCCCACAGTCCAAAAACCTGCATGTTAGGCTGATTGGAGATTGGGGAAATTGCCCTTAGGAGTGAATGTGAGTGTGAGTGGTTGTTGGTCCTTGTGTGTCTCTGTGTGTGTGTGGCCCTGCGATGGACTGGCGGACTGTCCAGGGTGTACCCCGCCTCTCGCCCGTTGACCACTGGGATAGGCTCCAGTTCCCCCCGCGACCCCATGAGGGAATAAGCGGTATTGATAATGGATGGATGGATGTAAAAAGAAATACATTTTTTATATTAATAATTAATTACTATGCGATAAGTCTAGATTATTTTTTGTGTAGTCTTCTGTCCCCTGTTATCAGGTATATCTGATTGTGTACAATAGGATTTTGATAAAAGTTTTTACCAATAAATTATGCAAAAGGTGTCAGACACAAAACGCTTCAGAAACCGTATGTATCAAATATGATACATTTGGCATTACAGGGTCAAAAGATTGTTCTGGGTCATTGCGCTCCACTTTCTGTCTGGCAGTGGAGGGCCTGCAGGAGGAGGAGACGATCCGCAGCGGCAGCCGCGAGCAGAAGAAGAAGCTGCTGCCCGGAGGGTCGGGCTCCGGGGATCTGGACGAGGCAGCAGATGTCCTGTTGGGTCGGCCAACCGTTCTGTACCCGGACTCCACCACCCCAACGGCGGCTGCCGCCCCAGACACAGGTACTGGATGCTGGTAGTAGATAACCCTGCAGACAGACTCCCATATTAATCCTTCCTCACATAAACTGTAGGAAGGCAGTCATGGATTCACTGCGTACTCAAGATGGTTTAGCTGTAAGAAATGTGCTCAGAGAGCCCGGTAGTTTTATCCAGTCAGAGCAGAAATATCTTGATGTTAACTCATTGACTGCCAGCCATTTTCAGAACAGAGAGTCCCATACTGCCAGGGTTTTTTGAGCATTTTGACTGATTTTTCAAGAGCCACTGAATAGTTTGTGCTACGACTATGTAAACACCGAACACACCAAAAGAAAGAGTAGACTCTCTTCTTTCATCAGGAAAAAAATTGTTTCTACCTTATTCCGTTCTTCCTCAACTTGCGTCTCACCGGCGACATGTTCTCTCATAGCGAACCGTTACCTTTTTCTTATTTGCCTACAGTCTATGCTCATCTCCCATCGAAAGTGGCACTGCCCCCTAGAGGGTCAATTTGTTACTACATACTCTGTATAGAAGCCTGATATTTACGGAAAAGCTTTAGCAGATCGTCCCACAGCCACTCTCGTTGAAAAACATAAAAGACGTCTATAGACGTCTTTGGCAGCCAATGAGTTAAATAAACTTCCTGTCTTTCTCAAATTAGAGTGACTAATGCTTGTTTTTAAAGGGCACCACACCACCTTTTGTTCTCTAAGTGGACCAGTCATTCCATTAGCAGTAATCTTATAAAAGCTTCAACGTGGTTAATGACTAGATTAATTAAGGGTAAAAGCATATATAATTGGGGTAATGGCTAGGGAACAGGATACAAATATTTAGGAAATCTTTGCTATGAGTGCTTAATGAGGGCAAACCATATCTCTAGCTTATTATATAGCCTAATTTGATCCCCTTAATAATCTTGACATATCTGTGTAAGGGTGCCCACTTGTTTAAGTAACTACCTCTGACCTCCAGAGCCCTCAACAACAGGAACGCCGTATAAAGTCACAGATGAGGCCTCGGAGAAAACCACCAAAGAGAAGAAGAAGAGAAAAAAGGACAAAGAAAGGCACCGTTCCACGGTGGAGAATAAGGAGGAGCAGGGGACGAAACAGGGCAAAGTCACAGAGGAAAAAGCCCGGAAGACATCCCTCCCAACACAGCCTGTAACAGGTAACAAGGAATTTTAGCTTTAAAACAAAGTTTGAGGTGGTATTACTGATTTTAAATTATTTTAGGGATATTAAAAAACCTCTTGAAGCATAAAGTTGAGAATTTCCATCTACTTTTTGGGTATATTCACCTCCACTTTGACAGCAAAAAGGGTTGAGAACAGTAAGTAATGGTCTGAAGTCTGATTACAGTGATTACACAAGGGAGGGACAGGTAATGGGTAATAACAGACCATCTCCTTCAGCTCCAGGCTGCATACATCTTCTCTCCTTTATTATCTAAAAAGGTACTTGGAGCCTTGCATGCACTGAAAAACACGCACCAACATTTTCCCGCCTAATATGCACTCATCTATTAGCTGATTGAAAAACATGAAAGTGGATGAGATGATACAGAAGGATGTGAAATACTGCTCAGGTTGCTCTTATTGCTCTCGGATTGAGTCTGTTCTCCTTCCGTGTCTCCAAATGAAAGGGCCGTCTCCAAGGAAACCATACCAGTGCAGCAGCGACGCAGCAGCCGACATCGTGCTGTTGGTGGACGGCTCCTGGAGCATCGGACGCACCAACTTCAGGCGGGTCAGAGACTTCTTGGAAGGGCTGGTTACGCCTTTCCATATTGGGCCGGCCCACATTCAGATTGGTAAGAACCACAGTGTTGACGGCAGTGATGCTAATTTAATTACCTGAGTTGAGTTGCGTGCTTCCCTCTGCATCAGGGATGTCAAAGTCAAACACACCGAGGGCCAAAAAACAAATTTGCTACAAGCCGAGGGCCGGACTGGTTCAATGTTTAAAACGTATCGAAACGATTGCACATATTGAACCAAGACCTATTCACACATATTCACAATTATTAAATGAATATGGCAATATTTTGTTATGGCTCTGTCGGTAACTTCAAGGGAAAACATTTTCAACAGCCAAACAGCAAAAAATTCAATTGTTTTTTAAACAAAATGTGTTTCTTAATATCAAGATAAATGCATAAATAAAAGTGAATGCATTATAAACTGAAAATGTATTATTGTGCTGCTCTATGATCTACCGATCACTGCTTTCAAATAGTAAAATTAAAAAATAATGAATATTTTGCGACTTCTTTTGCCACCATAAAGCTAGCCTTGACAGCAGCCTCACTTTGTGATTTAGCATATGTGAACATAGCCTGTCTGGGCTTAAGGCCTCGTTTTAATTCTTCCACCTTCTGTAGCTTTTGTTCATATTCCATATTATTGTCTTTGTCTGTGTGTTTTTTAGATGTTTGATTGTGCCTTCTTAAATTAAATTCTTTCATTACAGCCACACTTTCTCCACACAGAAGACACACAGGTTTGCCTTTTACCTCCGTAAACATGTCCTCTGCCTCCCACCCGGCCTGAAACCCGCTGTTCTCAGCGTCCACCTTACGTTTAGTCATTTTTGAGGAGGGGGTTTCAAAAAGTCGATCTCTGCTCTGAAAGAATGAAGCTGTTTGTGCGCGCTGCAGTGACTTCGCGGGCGACCGTTGCATTGTGGGAAATGTAGTGTTGGTGCGTGCAAAACACCAGCGGGCGGCTGTGGCCCGCGGGCCGGTTCTAATAATAATTTAAAATCATCCAGGGGGCCATAGATAATCAATTCCTTGCCTTGACTTTGACATATGTGCTCTGAATTGACTGACAGGCACATGCAGTTTGTGGCAAAGCAAACTGTTGAATATGTTTGTTAGACCCATATAGAAATGGTGTTTTATTGACTGCTGAATAGAATAATTTAGTTACGAGGAATGTATACTGTTTATTTTATTAAGAGGCATTTGGTTTTATTTTGTATCGTTTTCTACATTTGGTATTTTGATTTATCATTTTAATGAAGCTCCTTTAATGTCCTGTGTTTAAGTAACGAAAGGTGTGCAGTTTTGTCTGTTAGAGTGCGCATGCGCAGAGTACGTAAGAAAGGTAATGGAGCAGGGCGAGGAGCAAGACTTTTTTGACCGTAAGGCTTACGTTTTGGTTTATGCTTATCTTGAAGTAAATGTTTTGCTTTATGTTGGCATTTTTTTGTAAATTTACATTCGTAATAAATTGAAGTCATTTTTTACATTGGTTCGCGTACGTTTTTAAACCAAGCTGAACGAGTAAAAACCTTTACGTCCTGCAAGAGTGGCAAGGAAAAGGTTAAAATTTTGAAGAAAAAGGTATTAAGCCACTACAATGTTATTACATGTTAATAATATTTAGAAATATAACTTTAATCAGCTCCGTAACTTTCATTTTAAAAAGACATTTTGAAAACCACTGGCCAATTACCTGTAGGGCCAATACCTGTAGGGCCACACATCTAATGAGGTGGTTTTTTTATTCCAGCTTTGACCCAGTACAGCGGAGACCCTCGCACTGAGTGGCAGCTCAACAGCTTCACCACTAAAGACCAGATTTTGGAGGCGGTGAGAAATTTTAGGTATAAAGGAGGAAACACGTTTACAGGTACGAACCCCTAGCATTTTGCGGCCTCATAGCTGTGTGTGGTCCTATTTTCCGTCGGTGCCTAACCGGCCGCTGTCCCCCCAGGACAGGCCCTGCTCCACGTCATGGAGGAGAACATGAGGCCGGAGGCGGGCGCCAGATCGGACACGCCGTTTTTCCTGGTGCTGCTGACCGACGGGAAATCTCAGGATGACGCCATTGCAGCGGGAAACCGGCTGAAGAATTCAGGCGTGGAAATCATCGCTGTAGGTGAGGCTGTGGCTGGTCACCACAAAGCGGATCCTGTTAAATCATAAAGAGGATAATCTGTTTTATTACCCTGTGTGGTTCAGGGGTGAAGAACGCAGATGAAGCCGAGCTGAGACAGGTGGCTTCGGAGCCCGTGGATGTGAACGTCTACAACGTGAATGACTTTCCTCTGCTCAGCAAGCTGGTGGCACGACTGGTCCACATCCTGTGTAGGAGGATAGAAGACCGCGGCATCTCAAAACGTAATGCAGAAAAAGCCCAATTATAAGGTTTTACATCATGAAACAAAAAGGATCACATCCTCTTGTTCTTTAACATGAGATCATCAAATTGTACACTACTCATTATTCATTTACAACACCAAAGCCAAATCCAGCACACTTATTTAAGAACATTAGCAAGGTGCTGCTCATCAAAAGCACTTAAGCATTCAAGACAATGCCAAGGAGGAAACACATCAGCCTTAGAAAAGCAATTGTTGCTTTTGTCATTTGCAAGCTGTTTGGAGTCCATTGTCACAACAAAGAGAGAGATTATTTATTTAAGACCGCTGTCAAAATGAACAGGAGTGGACGTCCCAGGTCCGGTCAGCCAGTTAACCCCAGAGCTACAGCTCGACCGGCCTCAGTTAGCAGGTTAAAGGTAAAAAATTATGACAGTACAGTCAGGATGGGCCGAGCAGCTATGGCTTGTTTGTTTGGGCTGCAGGAGAAATCCTCTCCTTTGGAAAAAGTGTTTCCAGAGCATGCATCTGATCAGAGAGCAGAGCAAAGTGGTGATGTTTGGTCAGAATGCACACAAACCAAACGGCCGTCTGCACGGCGGGGGAGGGGTGATGATCTGGGCTGGTTCTGCAGCATCAGGACCTGGCAGGCCACCATGAACTCCTCTGGGTAGCAACGTGTTCAGAACCAGATGGGAGGCCGTCTGTCCCACAGCTGAAGCTGGGACTGGCTCCCCAACAGGACAAAGATCTACACACAGCAGCAGATCTACAGCAGAGAGTCTGAAAGAGGAAGGAACCAAGATGCTGATTGGTCCATCTGAGCCCAGAACTCAGCCTTATGCAAGCTGTAGGGGGGCTTCAGTATTTCGTCTTAATTCGTTTGAATAGTGTGATTTGTCATCTGTTGCTCATTTGACATGATCCAAACTTTTATTTGGGTTTTTCTACCCAAATATATAAAAGCTGTAGAGGGGGTACGAAATGTGTAACCATCAGACTGTCAACCTGTCCGTGTACAAACTTATGACATCAAGGGCTTGTGTTGCTTCCAGGAATGGAGCCTGGTCCCACAGCAGACCCAGCCCTCTCCTACCCAAGTCCAACTGATCTCCGCTTTTCTGACCTGGGATCCAGAGAGGTGCAGCTGCACTGGATCAACCCGTCCGAGCCCGTCCAGCAGTACAGGGTGGTGTACCACAGTGCCGAGGGCCAGAGTCCCCATGAGGTCAGATGGTCTCCCTTCGCCCGTACATGGGACAGTCCGTCGTATTTAGCTAATTTCTTTCGGCAAATTTTAGAAAAAGTTTTATATTTTGGGCTATTGCTGAAAAATAGTATAAAAGATAACAAGAGAAGGGGCTAACTCCGACTCTCTAACCCCTTTGGTGCTCGTCTCCAGGTGGTGGTGTCCGGCTCTGAATCAACGGTGCTGCTTGATGGCCTCTCGTCTCAGACGCTCTACCACATCTCCATCTTTCCGGTGTATGCAGACAACGTCGGCCTGGCGCTCAGAGGAACCGTCACCACCTGTAAGCCGGACTTCACGCATTCACTTCACTCATGCATTTTTCCTGGAAATTATGTCTTTCTTCATGTGATATTTGTATAAACTACCTCTCATTTCTGCAGATGTTTTCAGAGGACAAAGTTCCTAAATATTCCATTTCATATAGAAAATAAATGAAAAGTTCTCTGTTATGTTTAGACACTGTGCTTGTTTTTTTTTTTTTTTTTTTTTTTAGTTCAGGGACTTTTTGATGCTTGAATGATGAAGATGTCACTGTTTCTGGGACAATGCTGTTGATGCAGACACATCCGATGACCAGAGTTTAGTTTTAACCCAAAACAAAACGCATGGCAGAACCGGAGCATGAAAAGATGCCAAAACACAAAAAGATCTGAAAACAAGGGAAACTTAAAATACTGGTTAGTGAATAACAGCAGCTGAGAAGAATGAACACGAATGAACCAGAACATGGTGGCTGAGAAAACTGTGGGTGAGGAATGGGGAAAGAAGAAGCCCACAGGCCAGAAAACACTTGCTCACAAAAACACCACAACTGAACTTGAAGAAAACAGAAATAAACCAGAATTCCTCTGAAATTGGTCAGACACAAAAGATGGTGAATTAAACAAAAGGAAGGGAATTAAATGTAGACAAAGGGGGATGAATGTTACCTCTGACTGTATCTGTCTTACCCCCCCCCCCACTCCCTTTCAGTGGCACTGGCCATGCCGACCGACTTGGAGGTGACTCCCTCCTCCTACAGCACGCTGCGAGTGAGCTGGAGCCCAGCGGCTGGCGCCACCCAGTACATGATCCTGTACTCAGCACTCAGCCACGGAGAGCCCGACGACGCAAAGGAGGTGAGATGTGCAGAATTCAAACGGGATGTGGCCTCATCAAGAGAGGGCTTGAGACAAAGAAACGGAGAGATGTCTCTTGTTGGCTGGTGGTGATCATTTCAGAACTAAGACGGCTGCATGTTTAATGATAATATATTGTATTTGAAGGAGCTTTTTTTGGCAGTCAAGGACACAGAGATACACAAAAATGCATTAAAAGAAACAACAATGAACTCAATAAAATAGTCAGGGGCAGTGGCACTATCAAGAAGCCTCGGATAGAAAAGGCAGTCTTTAACAGATGTGTTTTGAGTTGTGATTTGAAATGGGGGAGTGAGTGGATGTTTCTGGGGAGCAGAGCGGCTGTATGCTCTTGATTTACAAGCTTTACTTGTAAGCTTGTTTGGCTCCAGGTTTGTGTTTTGTGTTTTGTGCGTGCAGGAGAAGTTCAGGGCGGATCAGACTGTGGTGGAGCTGGCCGGGTTACTGCCGGCAACAGACTACTCCGTCACACTTTACGCGCTCTATGACGAAGATCCAAGTGATCCCGTCACTTCTGTTGCCACCACATGTAAAAACCTCCTCCTTCTCTTTTATTTTTCCATGGCTCCCATTTTATCCTCCACACCCTCTTTTTTCTGTACTTTTCTGTGTGTTTCCAATTTGCCTCCATGTCAATTTCTTAACCTGTTCCATTTCCCCTCTAAAATTTGATTTCTGCACCATAGATTACCCCTTTAAAGCTTCTCCTCTCTCCCTTTAGTCCCTCTCCCAGCACCAGTCAGTGTTCAGTTCCCTCTGGTCGCCCACAGTACGCTGAGGGTGAGCTGGGTGCCTGGTGCTGTGGATGTCCCGGCCCACAGGGTCACGTACAGCACCAACCACGGCAGTGACACCAAGCAGGTAACCGTCCACATGTCAAAACCCCGGAGGTGGACACTATTCAAACCGGTTGTGAGCAGGCCCAGACATTGGGGGCCTTTTGTGTTTCAGTCATTCATTTTCTATTTGAACATCAATGTCTTTTATCTGTTTGTTTTATAATATTTGATTGTTTACCATATTTCTAGTCTGTTTATTTTTCTCCAGTTGGGATGAGGCTCAGCAATTAATCCATGTGGGATTTGTATCACATGAAGCTCTGGAGAGTGTTCAGTCAATCAAAATGACTTTATTAATCCTTCTTCAGCCAGCTCACCATAGTGTTTTCAATCTGGTGTTACCAATGAAGCATAAGCATAATCTGATCCTTCTGCACAGGTGGAGGTGACGGGGCTGAACTCTGTGCTGGTGCAGAACCTCTCATCTCTGTCCAGATACCTGGTGTCTGTCCAGTCTCACTACCCACAGGGACTGTCAGCGGCTGTCACCAGCAACGTCACCACCTGTGAGACACTCGGCAGTAACGAGGATGTGGAACAGCTCATCCAAACAAACGTCTGTTGATTTCATTCCTGCGTTTTCCTTCTCCGCACAGTGAAAGTGCCTTCGCCCTCCGACCTGAGGGTGACCAATTTCTCAGGCAGTGACATCACGGTGCGCTGGGAGGCTGCGGCAGACGATGTTGTTTCTTACCTCATAAAGTGGATTTCTTTAAGTGGAGGAGACCTGAGACAGGTGGAGAGGCCTCCCCGAATACATAAGAGTGCTCAGTTTGTAGCAGCTGTCGGGAAAAGGTTTAAAACGTGTTTCTTTCTGTGTTTTAGTTGCGCGTGAATGGAGACAGTGAAGGAGTTATTCTGGAGGGGGTAGAGGATGATAAAGAATACCAGATCTCTCTGTCTGCCCTCTATGGAGACGGGGCTCAGAGTGAAGCTGTGGCCATTCGCTACAGCACCCGTGAGTGTTATGGTTGCGCTCCAAATGCTGTGACCGGCAGAGGACAGTCACTATCTGCCAGGGCTTGCTGTCCCCGTCATCGCAACTTTCTCCTGTCTCCTGAAAATGTCTTCACACATACGTACATTTAACATTAACCCTAACTAGGGATGTCCTGATCCAGCTTTTTTAAATTTCGATCCCGATCCAGGCCTATCAGAGCATGTATTAAAGTTTAAAGTTATTTATCTACTTAATTAGTTGTCAGACTCATGTTGAACAGGGATTTACTCTGATATCAACTTAATGGTTAGGACACAGACCTGTGGGTTAGGAGATGCTAATGCTAATGCTAATTCACGTGTGGGAGTCCGGATCTGCATTTTCTCCTGCCGTCCGATACGCATTTTTTTGCAAATATCGGCGGCCGATCCGATCCAGATATCGGATTGGAACAAGCCTAATAACCCTAACATTATTTCAAACTTTGTCTCTCAGAGTTACAACCTCTTATTTGAAGTATGAAAGACCCACTTGAAACACTGAGCCATGATGCTTAAATCTCAGTTTTTTTATGCGTTTTGCATTAAGTAAAAAAGTTTTCAAACTTCACATTCTTAGTGGCCTTCTTGTGTGTTTTGCCTAAAGGAAGAACTCATGTTTTTTGCTCTGTTTTTCGCTCTGCAGTGGCGGGTGGAGGCCCCTCCGGCGTGACGGTGTCTGAGGAGACGGCAGTCAGCCTGTTGGTCAGCTGGGTGCCCCCCAACGCGCACGTGCTGCATTACCGCGTCACGTACACGGCGCTGACCGGAGCCGAGACTCAGGACGGCACCGTGAGTGCGCCGTGATCATACCTTGTCATGCTTTTAGCTCTCTAACTGACGATTTATCACCCCATCTAAAATGCAGGGCTTTAGTTACATCCTTTTAGCTGCTCTGTTCTGCATCCTGCAGGGCAACAATCACACACACACTCACGTAGATACACTCTTCTTCTTTTCTCTTTATTTTTCTGTTGTTGTTTTGTGTCCTTTTATGTCATATACAGTGGGGGAAATAAGTATTTGACCCCTTGCTGATTTTGCCGGTTTGCCCACTTACAAAGAATGCAACGATCTATAACTTTAATCATATGTACATTCTATCAGTGAAAGACAGAATCCCAAAGAAAATTCCAGAAAATTTCATCATATAAATTTATAAAAATTGATAACCATCTGATGAGGAAAAATAGGCATTCTTTGTAAGTGGGCAAACCTGCAAAATCAGCAAGGGGTCAAATACTTATTTCCCCCACTGTACGCTAGAAGATTTATGCAGAATTACCCACAATTTCACGCGTTGGTACACCAATTAACAAACTTTAATTTCTGTCAAATTTGCATCTTGAATTATCTGATTTTACCTATTCAGAAGAACATGTTAAATGGTTTTTAAGAGAATTAATACACACCTTTCTACATCTTATTAAATAAAACGCACCCAAAAAGTTAGGTTGAAAAGAAGAATAAACCCAAAGATTAACCTTTTTTCTGATGTTAACATCAGTTTGAGGTTTACACGCTATCGAAATGAGGAAAGTTGATTTCAAAGGGTGCAAACGTGTCATATTTTCCCCGTCTGTGACTGTGACAGGTGCTGGTCCCAGGTGCTGATAAGCAGGTGCTTCTTGAGTCTTTGCAGCCAGACACGCGTTACAGCATCTTGGTCACCGCAGAGTATCGCAACACAGAGGGAGGCAGCGGCTCAGCACAAGGAAAAACTGGTGAGCCGAACACGCAAAGCTGCAACACAAAGGGGGATGCAACCTCCGGGTTGCTTTCCTCCACATGGTGGGAAAGATACCAAATCCTATATTTTCAGGGAAACTTAACCGTCAAGTGGAGTCGAACCTGAGCTAATCCATCCTAGAAGTAACAAATGCATGGACCAGTTTTTCGGCATCATTTTTACCTGCTGGCCTGTTTGTGGTTCTGTGTAGCCAGTCTACGGGTGAGCAGCGTGAGCGTGGTGAGGTCAGACCACTCCAGCATCTGTGTGTCCTGGAGGCCGGTGTCTGCTGTCCACGGGTACCGGATCGTCATCCAGTCGGTTAAAGGTGAAACGCCCTCACACGAGCATGACTTCTCACACAAGCACGGAGAAAGCAGCTGATGTTCCTGTTGCCATGGATGTGTGTGTGTGTGTGTGTGTGTGTGTGTGTGTGTGTGTGTGTGTGTGTGTG